ATATATATATATATATATATATATCCCTTACCAATGCACTTTCAAAACAAGTCAGTCAATCTTTATTCAAAGGAAAAAGGCAAAGACATTGTAGTACCTTTGGTACTGCAGCCTGGAAAACAAAGTCTGTCATGTCCAGCTCTGTGCTGTTGGAGGCCTGTATCGTTATCACTGTGACACTGGGGTTGGTGTTTGACCGTTCAAAGGTGAATTCTATCTTCAGGCCATTCTTACTGTATGCGGTGATGGAGGGGATGCCTGGAAGAGCACAGGAAGATAAGCCTAATTGTAGTCAGTTTAATGCTTACAAAATTATCACTTGCTTTCTTCAGTAACTACCTCTCATTGCTCTATTGATAACATCAGTAATTGTACCTGTAGCAATGTCATTGAAGAGAGGCCCTGATGAAAGCCCATCCAACAAGAAGGGGGGCTGGGATATCTGTGGGACTGAGGAAGGGGCAGGAGCAGCAGCTGGAGCACCTAAAGGAAACATTCCAACATTAAGTCAATTTTAGTCAGCATGACAAAGCCAACCAAGAAAATATAGAAGAAAATTATTATGATCTCAGGTTAACAGAAGTGTTCCTTAAACAAGATGCGAAAGCATAAAACATAGAGAGAAAGAACTTAAAATTCAAACACTTTAAAATGAGTCATGTCTGTCATTAAAAAATACTACAGGGCCGGCCAAGTGGCTCAGTTGGTTAAGAGCTTGCTCAAGAGTTTGAGCTCTGAGCAACAGCGGTTCGATGCCCAGCCCGAGCTGAGCAGCCGCTGAGCTGCCAACAGGTAGAAGGATGGCTCAGCTTAAAAAAAAAACTATAAAATAATAGAGAGACCACAGGCAAGAGAAAATGTTTGCTACAAAATAACAAATGGATAAGCATCCAGAACTATAAATATCTTCCTACAAATCAATAAAAAAATGATAACTCAATTTAAAAGTGGTAAGAGATATGAACAAGCCATTACCAGAAGAGGGAACCTAAATGAAAAGGGCATCCTATGAAAAGAGATGCGCAATCTTACAGTAATGAGAGAAATGGAACTTAAAACCACAATAAGGTACTACTCACATCCATCAGAGTGGTGAAAATTTCAGTGTCTGATAATACCAGATACTGGTTAAGAATATGGAGCAATGGGGACTTCTAACTTCTGTCATAGGGACATAAACTGGTACAACCAAACCAGAGAACAATTTAGCAATGATAGAGTTGAACATGAGTATACACCTAAATGAAAGTTCCTCAACCTCAAAACTAATGAAATTTTAGGCTAGATCATTCTTTGTTGTGGGGGGCTGTCTTGTGCATTGTAGAGTGTGTAGCAGCATCCCTGACTTCTACCCATTAAATGATAGTAGCATCTTCCAGTTGTGACAACAAAAATATCTCCAGATACTAGTGAGCAAAATTTCCCTCATTTAAGAACCAGTGCTCTTCTCCGGAATGCTTTTGATTAATTCATACATAGGTACATTGGGAGACACGTACAAAAAGTGTGCATACAGCAGGATAGTTTCTAACAGTGAAATACTGGAAACAACCAAATGTCTATCATCAAGATTAATATATAAGTAAGTTATGGTACACTGACAATATAAAATACTATATATGAAAAAGAATAAAAATGTGATTGCACTGGAAATACAGTTGACCTTTGAATAATACAGGGGTTAGGCATGCCAACTTCCTGTGCAGTCAAGAATCTGTGTATAACTACCATCGGACCTCCAAACACGAGGATCCCCAACAGAGAAGTTGACCTTTGAACAACTCAGGTTTGAACTACGAGGGTCAACTGAACTGCACAGGTCAACTGAAAAAAAAAAAAATGCACGTATAAGCGGACCCACACAGTTCAAACCCGTGTTGTTCAAGGGTCAACTGTATACTTAACATGAATTATTCATGAATTATTCTCACAAATACTATTTTTAGCAAAAAAGCAAGGTGCAAAAGAAAACATTCAGTTGGACGCCATTTCTAAAAAGGTAAAAACTGGCAAAACAATACTACACACTACTATCAAGAAATACACAGAAATGGCAAACACCAAAGCTAAACGCTGCTCTAGGATAGACAGTAGCTCCCTGCTGCATCAAGAGGGAAGGAGATGAGGGGGCAACTACAAAGGGAACGTCAACTCTCATAATAATATTTTATTTTACAAGCTAAGTAGGTCAAGCCATTTATTCAATTTTATAGATGTTAAATACTGCATAATAAAATTTTACCGCATACACAACACACACACACCCTGGGAAGGGTGGTATGCAGTGGGGGTAAGAAATCGTCATATTACCTTTTTTTTTTTTTTTAAAGCTGAGCCATCCTGCTACCTGTTGGCAGCTCAGCGGCTGCTCAGCTCGGGCTGGGCATCGAACTGCTGTTGCTCAGAGCTCAAACTCTTGAGTGAGCTCTTAACCAACTGAGCCACTCGGCCAGCCCCTACCATTTTTATTTGATCCTTCCAAACAAGAACAAGTTGAGGATCATACAATAGAGGGCAAGTGATAGAACATGACCATGAACTGAGAGACATCAGGATTCTAAGAAGAGGCATAAGAAAATTCAGCAAAACAGAGAATGCGTTTAATATTTTAATAGATTTCAAACTACTTATGAAATTAACTGAAAATATAATATTTTCAAAAGCATTAACAAAATAAAAACTAACGGAAGGCTGAAATATCTTTTCAAAAAAATACCCAAGTACACTAGGGGGAAACAAAACAAATGACATACTAAAAATTAGCAAGGAAGATAGAACTATGGATGGAGAATCAAAGCACAAGAAGCTAAAACTAATGTGACACCGCAGAACTGTGCAATCAAGCTGATTACCAATGAACTATACAAAGAAATATTCATATAGTTCTCCTAGTTTTTATAAATCAAATGTAGTACTTTTCCCACAATTCCCACTTTCAAAACAATTTTAAAAATGTGCTCCCAGTTCCCATGGAAAATCAGAGGCCACCCAAGACATCTACAGGTAACAAATGGGTCCCTAAGTCCCTTAAATTTTAGTTTTTTCCTCCTGTAAAGATACAATAAGTAATGTTGGGAAACAACAGAAACGCACTGCTTCAATTCCTCTAAACGCACACACTAAATTTACTAATTTCCATTGATGTAAATTACTACGCATTAGGATATAACTGTAATGGTGGCTTAAAGAATTTAAAACTCAAAAATTTTTAACTTAAATGAGAATATGTGGATATATATGAAACATTCCCTGTGACTGAAAAAATTAAAATTAAAAAAATAATAGGGCCTATCTTTCTTTCACCTGTTAGGGCTTTAAAAAAATTATACTATATAATACTTATGACTGTACAGTGAAACTGGTAGCTATATACATTGAGGATTAGGTAAATAACTTTTACCAAGTGCCTACTATGAGTCATGCACACAATGAATAAGTCACCTCACAAACACTTCCTCACAAACACTTCGTGAGGTAAATATTGATCATCCTTATTTTAAACAGATTCAGGAAGACTAAATAACTTAGCCAAAGAAAGTAATCCACAATGATGTAATGATATTTGTTGAGGCATTAGTTATAAGAAAAATCTGGAAACAAATTGCCCAATAGTAAGGAATTGAGTAAATAATTGTACAAACTTCTTGAAGTACTAGACAACCATTTAAAATTATAATTGTGAAGACTATATACTAACATGGAAATGCTAATATGCTAATAAATAAAGCATATCATTTATATAGACTACATTTTAACTATGGGATTATTTTCACCTTTCCATATATCCAATATAGATTTGGCATCTGAGGATTTGAAATTGACTATATATGAATGATGCAAAAATACATTAAGTAACATTTTGAAATTTTTTTAAGACATAGATATAAACTATAAGCTCCAGGAGGCTGCTGTGTTAGGAAAAAATCATTTAGCCTGTGATAGTCAGTCTAGATGACTACCCAACATCCTTATCCTACAGCTGTTTTCCACTTGCGGTCATGTATGCTAACTCTCCATTATACTTTTAAAGAAGTCACTTAAGATAGAAATTATATACTACAGTGATATTCTTGGTCTAAAGTGTTCATAATATCATTGAACACATCAATTACAAATGTCTACTACATAAACAAAGATAAGAAAAAAATACTCCTAAATAAAAGTTATGTTTGAATATTACATTTATGGATGCTTTTCTCTTTTCATTGCTTTAAAAACAGGAAGAAAGGGAGGGAGACTGGGGGTGGGGGGGAGGAAAACAGGTTGACATCTCTCCACTCTCCACAAGTGACCATAGCTCTTGCAAACTAACCATGAGTAGAAAGAAACCTAGAAAAAGTGATGTGTTGGGACACTAACTAAAAGCAGAGGAGACTCGGGATATATTTCTTTTCTAAGCTGAAAGAGAAAGTCAAAAGACTGAGTACTTTACTCTCCTCAAATTAAAAATTGGACTTTGAGCTCTTAGCAACAGTAGTTTGATGCCCGGCACGAGCTGAGCTGCCAACAGGTGGCAGGATGGCTCAGCTTTAAAAAAAAGGACTTTAAGGAATCTCTATGCTCTAGAGTATTACCATGGCAGTTTATATCCCAGATGTGAAAGTTCTAGTCTTGCTTCTCACTTAGGCTTTCCCATCTTCAACTGACTCATGTGCTAGAAGGCCTATGTTCACATTTCCTCTGTTTTTGGTCTCTGTGCTTTTTGCAGGCCTCCCAAAAGCGCTATGTTGGGACAGAGCATCCGGAGGTTCACAACCTCTGTGGTCCGTAGGAGCCACTAAGAGGAGAGGCCAGGGAAGACTTTGCCATTTTCAGTGGCGGTTGCTAGTTATGATGACTCTGTACTTTGAATCTGGATTTGCCGCACCTTTCTTAATAGTAAGACACCAACTGCTTAAGAAACAAGGCCGAGTGGCGCGATGGTTAAGAACTGGCTTGGGAAGCCAGAGGGCCCCGGTTCAGATCCCACATATGAGGGCCAGTGACACTGCCCTCTACAGCTAAGATGCTGAACAACAGCTCAACCTGGAGCTGGGCTGCCGTGAGTCGCCAGCGACGGCGTAGGCTGCAGCCCCTCATGGGCTACCGTATGTAGCCAGCAGCCAGCGTGAGCAGCCAGCAGCTGCAGTGAGAGGCCGTCCAGAAGCCGGCGACTGATCTGCCTCGCCCGGGAAAAGCGCAATGATGGTGCCAACTTGGGCCAGTGAAGTAACGTCCTCCACAACTAGACTGAAGAACAAAAGGACAGCAACTTGTCTGTTCCCCTCCCCCCCAATTCCCCAGCACAGTTCCCATCCCCCAATTCCCCAATAAAAAAAACAAAAAGAAACAAGGATGTTTTACTTAATCCATGAAACAGATATGAAGAGGAGCATTTTAAGAGGTGCGATCACTTTGAAAAATTGATCAAACTGTTGAACTCAACATACTAGGTATGTTTATAAATAAACTTAAGGCATGAAACTTAATGCCTCTTCTCTGAAATACAAAATGTGATAATTGGAAGAAAAAAAGAAAAAGAAATTCTATGCTCAGTGTAGTTTTTCCCCAAGGCCATTATCCCTATCTAAGATTAAATAACTCCAGTCTGGCCTCACCTGTAAGGTTGATGTCTCCCAGCAAATCAAGAAGTTCTCCACCAGCAGAAGCTGGTTTGCTTGCAGGTGCAGTTGGAATAACAGGTGTTATGTCATTTCCTCCCAACAAATCCAATAAGTCATTGGCCTAAACAAGAAAATAATACCTCAATTTATCAGTTATTTGCCTAATCTACATTTAATACAAAGCTCTTTCAACATTTAAAAATAAGGAAGAGAACCATCATTCAATCTAGGAACATTGAAGGAAATCCCCTAAGAGATGGCTCATAAGGAACTATAAGATCATCAGGTGAAAAGCTACCTGGCTGGTCGGCTGTGGCCCAGAGGGTGGTGGTTTGGTCTCTAGTGGAGCTGGTTCTGTCTCTCCATTTGTCTGCACAATCTCAGTAGGACCATTTGTGGTCACTTTTTCCATGACAGGCATTCTCTCAAGCAGGGCAGACCTGGAAGAATCTGAAGTGGTTAAATTCTTGGCAGTTAACCTAGATTCCCTACCCAAAACGATCACTGTCACTATACTGGAGCCAAACATGAAGAGCCATCTTCCCTCCCCGCCCCCAACAGACACGCTAAAACAGAAGGTGGATTACAGGAACACATGACCTGAATTCCTGGCTGGATTAAAGGCAGGCAAGAAGGCTTGAATGGACAAACTGTCTACCCAAACCCCAAGAGAGTGGGATTTCTCAGCGGTAGAGAAATTGGAATGCAAGATAGGTAAATCAGTAGGTAGTACCGTATTTTTCCATGGATAATGCCCACCCACGTTTTTGGCCCAAACTTGCAGGAAAAAACATCTTTCATTTTAATTTTTTAATTCAAATTTTTATTTGTTTACATTTAGGTACTTGCTTTTGTATTATAAAAAAATTTTAGCATTTATTTTTTAACATATTATGGTACAAGAAATATTATGTAACAAATAATTACAAAATACAAGAACAGATACAAGGTACAAAAAATTTTATGTACCAGTAACAAATCTGTGATATTTACGCATCATAGAAGGCCAAGAACTCTTCGTCTGTTGCAAGTTCAACAAAACTGATTATTGTATTCCAGAGTATTATTTTGCATATAGATAGTTATTGATTTCTAGAGTTGCACTTTTAACTCATAAGCACAAATAAAAGAATTAAAAACATCTATATAGATATGGAATTAGTACTACCCATGTATAATGCACATCCTTATTTTTGTCTCACAAATTTGGGTCAAAAGTTGCGCATTACACATGGCAAAATACGTTAATAGGTTCCAATTAAGAAGATACTGCAAAGCAGAAGGGAGCAAAAAGTTATGTACCAAAATGTTAATAATGGTTTTTGAATGAGATTCTCTTGAAAAAAATAAAACTCCTACTTCTTAACCAAATAAAATGGAAAATGAAGCAAACTTTCCATACCAAAAAAAAGGGGAGAAGGGCAAAGAAAGACCAGTTAACTTATCTAGAGACGAGGCAAACTAGAAGGTGAACAAAACAGAAGCAGTCAAGCAATGAGAACTAAATAGGGTTATGAAGTCCAGTTAATAAGCACAAGGAATGAGTCTCCTTTATGAATTTATCACGACAATTTGTTGGGGACACTAAGAAGAACATGCATTGCTTAGTTTCTTTCACTTACCTCATATGGTCATATTTCTTAAAAAGTGCATTATATTCTACTGCCCTCTGCTGGAGTTCCACATCAATACTGCTTCCATAGATGGAAACCACTTTCTTAATTCGGCTTTGGGATAAAATGACAAATGAATTCAAATACCCAAAAGAAAATTCATAAACAAACAGACAGAATAATGTTTAAACCAAAGTTTTCTGGCTAAAATTTGGAAATACTCACTTTTTCTTAATTTACATAGTCTTTCAAAAACAAAACACCTTTCCTTTATCTTCATTCATCCAACATATACCTCGACACCATCATTCACTATTATAATTATTCTAACTGTAATGCTAGATTTTTGTCTGTTAAAGGTCCCATACCCTAAAATTTGCTAGATAAAGGTATCAATTATTAATTTGCAATAAAAGAATCTACTTATACTGTTCATACTCTTCTTTAATACTTTAAAATAAGCTTTTATCAACAATAGGGGCACAGCATCAGAGTTTTACCAACAAAGGGTCATCACCTGACACCAAATTTTTCTAGTTCACAATTTAAAGAGTCAAAAATATAATTTTTCACAAGGCCTTACATTAAAAAGTAAAGCAGAAAGTCTAAGAAAACTAAGTTTGCCATATATATGCTTGGGTGGGAAACTGATCCAAGAATTGACTTTTATTCAAAACAGTAAACAGAAGAATTTAAAGGTTTAAACATCCAAACCTTCACGATTTTCTTCTTATTCATACATCTCAAAATTTTATAATAAACTAGAACCCTTATACAGGGAAATAACTTTAAAAAGAAAAAAATGCACTAGAAGCCTGATTTCTAAAACATAACTTTTTACATTCAAAATAACCAATAGTGGGGTAGGGGGATGACAGGGAGCAAAGTATAGATGAAATAAGGATTAACCATGAAATGATTACTATTATTGTGGAGTAATAGGTATATGCATTTCATTTTACTATTCTCTCTACTTTTGCCTTTGCTTGAAGTTTTCCGTAATAAAAAGTTTTTTTAAATTACAAAACAATCTGTTCACCTTAGAGCGCCATACTTACTTTACAGTACAGGTGAATCGAGTAGAAAGCTTCATAATGGCAGTGAGGGCATAACCTCGTGTCACAGAAGTGGACATGTTAGAGATTAGGACACTTTCTAAAATATCCAACACTTCATCCTCTGTTACCTAAACAGAAAAAAAAAGACAACGTACAATAAATTGTAACAGTAAATGTCTAAATCTGATATCAAGTGACAGGATGCCACCAGAAAGTCAATCCTCCCATCATTACCAAGCTTCTAACACAATTTGTGCTTTACGAGGATAACTGAAAAAGCTAATCTATCAACCAGAAGCAGGTAGGAGGTAGGTAAAAAAGAGTGGAAAATACCATTGGGGACTGAGAGGCATATTACAGCTTCATGAGGCAGAAGCAGAGAAAGGAAAGAAAAAGTTACAGAGAGTTCAAGTGCTGTTGCCACAACTTCTAAAGTTAATCCTTTAATAGGCAAATGAAAACATGGCTGTCTCACTATTTGTTTAAATCAGCGAGAGGGTAAAAGAAACAATATAATTCAGTCTGATGGAGTAGGAAGTGGATCCTAAGGTGGTTTTAATAAGTTCAGTGGCCCAGGAAGGTCTATCTAAAAAACTGACAGGTTTCCCAATATAATTCAGGTATTATTTCTTTAAAAGGTTTTCAAGGACTCAACCTCAACTCCTCATTGAACACTACCCTCATATCCAAAGCCATTGTTTTTTTCCTATCTTTAACTAAGAGTGACAAGGGTTACCTGAATAGGCTCTTCCTCTTCACATTGGCCAGATACTAAAAGATCTCCATATTCTCCTATACACCATGCAGCTACCTGCACCAAAGGTTGCTGTCAAAAGAAAGTTACCGTTTGTCAAGAACTTCCATCCTTGCAAAAATTAATGCAAATTATTTTTGGCCATCTAATCATATGGGCCAAAAATGAGGCACATTTAGAGTTAATAATAAGAACATACCAGAAAAATAAAGTGTAATCCCCTCCTCACCCCAAAGTGGAAAAAAAAGCAAATGAAGCACTTACTTGAGAATAATCACCAAGAATTGCTTTGTACAAACGCTGGACAGTATAGGCATGCATCTCCACACTATTGGTTATTAACTGGATCAAGTTGGGGACTGCATCATCACGAACATAGCTTCCTGCCTAAAAGGAAATGTAGACAGTTACCCCTAGAAACACACAGTGATGATAAAAAATGTTAGCTATTATTATGCTGTTAGAAGGACACTACTACAGAATACCCTCAAAGATAAACTTGGTTCCAATACTCAGGTTCATAAACAGCTCAAACTTCAAAGTCTTACTTATTTAAATAAATATTCTAAGTTTTTTAATTTTATAAAAAATAAAATAAAATCTTTTTGTCCGAAGTAAAATATAAAGGTTTACAATTTCAAGAAAGACCTTTTCTACACAAAACAGATAAGGTGTAAGATTTCAAAAATTTAACAAGTATATTCACTGTAACTTAATTACGACAAACTCTCCCTTCCCACAAGTCCCCAACACCAATGTTAAAATCATAGGGGCTAACTACAGTAGTCATGTTACTCTGGCGGATGGTGAAAAGACTCTACATGAACAGCTCAAAGGGGCATATTAAATAAGAAATAAGAGCTTTTTAAAAACTTGTTTATTTAAAACATCATAATGTCCTCTGAAGACTAGGGTTTACAAATATTATAGAACCAACCATTAGTCCCAGGAATGGAAAATATTTTGTATTTAATTATCCACACTTCCTTTTTTTTTAACTTGGTCTTTTTAATATCCTCTTGACTAGTGAAATCTGAGATACTATTTGCAACCACGAGACAAAGTAAAGCTATTTAACCTATGAGGCACTAAATCTTGGATATGTCAGAGCAGTATGACAACCAGGCTGCACAGGACATACAAACAGTGACACCTGTGCCTAATATCAACCCACCTATGCAATCTCCCATTACTGGACAAAAGGGCAGATGTGAGTTACAAGACAGAGCCCAGGCCTAACCATGTGTAATTTGGAAAGAAAAAGAGGAAAAAGAAAAGGAAAACGACAAGTCCCGTGACTGAGCTACCCACTCCTGTTAAGAAACACAAAGTCAGAGGGAGAAGTTTCGAAACATGGTGACAAAGAAAACGTGAGAAGTTAAAAAGCAGGTAATAGTGGTGTAACAAGATATTCACATTGTTGTGGGAGAAAGCAGCGTTTGAAATACAAGAAAGCATCAACATGGTCTATTTGACATTTATAGATTACTTCAGATTACTACAGTGGAATGTACACATTCTTCTCAAACTCACATGGAACATTCACCAAGACAGACCACATTCTGGGCCATAAAAAAATGTTCTCAAGTTAAAAGAATAGAAATCATACAGAATTAAACTAGAAATCAACAACACAAAAATAGCTGAAAAATTCCAAAGTAGTTGGGAGCTTAAACACACTACTAAACAACACGTGTCAAAGAAATCATAAGGAAAACTATTGCCCAGTATCTCTCATGAACATAGATGCAAAAATCCTTTAAAAATATTAGCATATCAAATACAACCACTATGTGGGATTCACTCTAAGTATGAAAGGCTAATTCAATAATCAAAAATCGATTACTGTAACACAGTACATCAACAGGCTAAAGAAAAATCATAAAAAGAGAACATAGCTTAATAGGAAAAATGAAAAGTAGGAGCATTTTAAAAAATGGTTTTAAAGTTTAATAAACATTTTTCTTCATGAGTTCTAATTTTTCCCTTCTTTTGAGCCTTATAAACACTAAAAAAAAGTGTACTGATTCACATCTTTTGTTACAGTACTATTTCCCCATTAACAAGTACATTTATTAACTTTTAACCTTTCACAAAATTCATTCATTGTAGATAAACTAGAAAATACTACATCACAGACAGAAATCCACAGTAACTAAAATTTATTTATATATACACACACACACACATATACACATATATATATGTATATATATAAAATCTCATAATTTTAATGATATCACTTCCTCCTACAGATGTCTCATAATTTACTTAACCAATGCCCATTTGGAGACGTCTAGTTGTTTCCACTTTTCTCCTATTATATAAACAAAATTGGACACCTTTGTATATACATTTTTGTACACTTATTCTTTTACTCTCCAAGATAAAGCCCTAAAAATTAAATTAATGAATTAAAAAATATAAACTAAGAATTTTACTACATACTACCAACCTGTACTCTGGAAAGATGACACCATTTTATACCCACATAAAGTAAAGTGTATTGCCTGTTTCTCTATTTTCTAACTAATAGGAATTAGATTAAAAAGTATAAGTGAAAAGCAATATCTCACTTTTATTTTACTTACTATTTCTTTACTAGCAAGGGTATTTTTTCAATGTTAACTAGCCATTTCTTTCTTCTTTTGTGAACTGCCTGTTCAAATGCCAATTTTTCCATTAGAATTTCTTATTTTTCCTAGTAATTATAAATTATTTATAGATTAAAAATATTAATATGCTGCTATATGTTACAATGATTTCCCCCTACTTGTCATCTGTCTTTTAACTTTGTAGATGTTCTTCCTTTTGCTATATACATTTTAAATTTTAATACAGTCAAATTTGTGAATGTTTTCCTTTATGGTGTCTACTTCTGTGACATAATTAGACATAGTTATGTTTTCTTTATATTACACTACACTTTCATTTTTACTCTCAGATGTCTAATCTCTATTAATTGAATGATAAGCAGAAAAATCCAAAATTCTGGAAGATTACCAAAGAAAGAATACCTTATAAAACTGTCATTTTAAATTCAGAATAAATTTAGTCATTCGAAACCTTCCTGAGGCTTCCTATCACATTCAAAATAAAATCCAAACTCCTGTGAGGCCCTACAGAATCTAGCCCGCGTCAATGCTACCTACCATTCTCTGGCTTCACTGGCCTTCCTGCTCTCCCAGCAAGGCAAGCTTGTTGCTACTTGATGTCTTTGCAATACTTGCTGTTCCCTCAGGTTAGTATACTCCTACCCCAAATCTTTGCATGGCTCCTCATTTCACCAAGTTCTCTACTCAAATATTACCTCCTCTTAGTGACTTGGTCCACTGCCCCATATCCCATCCTCCCCCGTCATCATCAGTCCCTTCATGCTGCTTTTTCTCTGCCTGACAGTGTAGTGCATACTTCCCCATGAATTTCCTATTTCCCACACCAGAATGTAAGCTTCATGAGAGCAAGGGCTGTCTGCCTTACTCAGCACAACCAGCATTTAGTATATGTTGACTTTTAAAAGCGCTACTTACCGTTGTCAGGACACGCATAATTGTGTCTATATGCCACCGTTTGGAAGGTGCATACCTAAGGAAATAATGGTACCAGGTGAAAAAATGGGAACCTGTATATTATACTGTGCTCAGTGAGTTGCAAAATTCCTGCCTATGGTCTTCTTTAGGTTCACTGGCTAAGTCATTATATTTGGAGACCTTCAAATCTAGCAGCAATATCCATTTTGAAGGGTGATAAAATGGCATACTGTCAAACTCGCGTTTCACATAATACTGTAATAAGAGTTGCTAAAAAATGGGAGTCTATCTCCAGTTTCTCGGAAAACAAACCATAAAGTCAGGGCAGAAGAGGATGGAGCAGACAGAAGAAAAGGGATTATTCCCAGACCCAGCAAACACCAGTACTAGGAACTTGTTCCTTTAAATTCACAGTTGGCAAGTGGAGAAATAACGATACTATCAAAATCTTGAGGTATTTTTTCCTAAAGCTTTACACAGAGTCACAATTCAGATGCTATAACTTTTCTATAGTCTTCATTAAGAGGACATCATATATGAGAAGTTCAAGAACAGACACAGAGAGAGATTTTGTAAACTTGGGAAGTTATTTTTTGGTCCCAGCATACTTAAATGCTGGCTAAACTGGCCTTCTCAAAGGTAATTTCTAATTGGGAGCTTGAAATAAATGTTATACATTTTAAACACGTTTACAACATTTTCCTCATGTTTTGAAGATGCTTTTAAAAATTCCAACCATCTTTTATCGATAAAGGCAAAAATTAAATCTTACTTTTCTGCAGCAAGAAAGATTCCAGATGCACAGTCTGCTTTAAATTCTGGCTCACAGGAATCCAGGAAATATAGTAATTCCTTCATCATGCCTCGGATATTATTCCCATTGACCAGGGCAAAACTCAATTCCATTGCACGCCTTGCAGGGGCGGGGGAAAAAAAGTTATGGTATTTACAGTGGGAAGAAAACTAAGAACCAGGTGTGTTCTTTCTGTACACTGGTATGTGTTATTGACCTTGCATGATCCTGTGATCCCAATCTTTACACCTGAGATAACCAACGCTATCAAAGTTAGTTTTTCTATTTTGAATCTTTGTTCAACACTTTTCTTCAAATATTCCTAAGAGAGACACTACTAATGACCAAAAATGTAGATTGGGTTCAACAATGTAGTCTATGAAGCTGAAATTTAGAAAAGAGGTTCAAAAATAGAAGCAACAGAGCCAGGTAAGTGGCTCAGTTGGTTAAGAGTTGGCTTAAGAGCGCGAGCTCGGAGCAACAGGGCCACTGGTTCGATTCCCACATGGGCCAGTGACGCTGCACCCAAGGTGAGTTGTCGCTGAACTGCCAACAGGTGTCAGGATGGCTCAGCTGGTATAACATCAAGATTGCCTGTTTGATGATGGGCTACGCCCACCCACAACTAACACTGAACTCAGCACCTTGAGTTGAGCTCCCGCCTGGATGGCTCAGTGGATAGAGCGTGCGCTCTTAACAGCAAAGCTGCTGGGTTCGACTCCCGCATGGGATGGTGGCTACACCCATCTGCAACTAAGACTGAACTTGGCACCTTGAGCTTAGAGGCCACGAGCTGCCAACGGGAAGCCAGATGGCAACTGGCGCCCTCCACAATGAAGATTTGAAGAACAACTTGGCCGGTCCCCTTCCCCAATTCCCCAACACTGTTCCTCTCCCCTAATTCCCCCAATAAAAATCTTAAAAAAAAAAAAGAAGCAACAAAATTATTACCTAATAATATCTTCCTGCATTAGTCCTTAAAAATGTAATACATAAAGTCACCATACTCTTTTATTACACCCACTTCTGTCCAAAGATGATGTAACACAATTTATATCAAAAGGTATGTGAAGAAATACACAAAATGTGCTAATTTTGACCACTTGCTTTATGTTTATTTTTCTCTTAATGTTGAGTGAATAAAAACTACAGTAAACAAAAGGTATGTGGGAAATTAGAATAAAAACAAACCTTGGAAGGCATTATGCTAAGTATAGTAAGTCAGGTAGAGAAAAACAATACTATAGGATATCACTTAAATGGAAGTAAAAAAGCTGAACACATAGAAAAAGACTAGAAGGTAGTCACCAGGGTCTGGGGAGGGGAAGAGAAGGGGAACTGTTGGTCAGAGCGTATAAACTTCCAGTTGTATAAAATGAAAGCTCTGGGGATCTAATGTACAGCACAGTGATTAAAGTTAATAACACTGTATCATATACTCGAAAGTTGCTGAGAGTAGATCTTAAATGTTCTTACCACAAAAAAGAAATACTAATTATGTAATATGATGCAACTGTTAACTAATGCTATTAGTTAACATTAAAATGTTAACTGTTTTGTAATATACATAACTGTGTCAAATCAAAGCATTGTACAACTTAAACTTACACAATGTTACATGTCAATTATATCGCATATATAAAGCTGGGAAAAATAATGAAAGAGAGAATGAAGGCCATGAAAAGGAAAAAAGAGCATATAAAAATGTCTATAACTGCCTATCAAATTTGGCAACCAAAGCAAAAATGGTAATGTTTAACATATAAAAGTTATAAGATTACTATATGCATCTTTCCACATTTGGTCAGTGACTTCAAACATGGTATATAAATTGGCTTTAAAAAATATCAATTTAAAAAGTAGAAAATACTTTCATGTTAATTTACAAGCAATAAAAAAAAAACCAATCCTTATAGAAATACAATAGCTAATTCTTATATAGTGCTTAAGTACTTTACTTTTACTAACCCAGTTAATACTGCATAACCTTATGAAGTGGGTGCTCTTGTATCCACATTTTAAATATGGGACAACTGCGGCATTCAAAGGTTAAGTAAACTAGACCACTTCTATTAAGGGCAGAAGCAGGATTTGAAATAAGGCAATCTGGCTCCAGAGTCTGAGCTCTTACTGCTATAGAGCCTGTCAAAGAGACACACATCGATACTTTTGAAATGCAAAGCCCAGTAATAAGCGATAGAGAAACAACACAATAGAAGACAGAGGCCTGATTTCTATTCCCAGGCCTGCCCCTGTACAAGGGGAAAGGTTTTGGAGTTCAGTCATTTGATTCCTTTGAGACTATATTTTAACTAATCTGTTGAGACTATACTTTAACTAATCTGTTAACTGAGGATATAAATAATTGCCTAGTCTCACTGGCTTGCTCAGAGAACCGAATGAGAGGGTGCTTATAAACCCTTTGCAAAGCACTACGTAAAAGTTGTTGCCATTGAGTCTAGGTCTTATCTTTAGATTGTCCAAGCACTTAGCACCTGTTCTCTGCAAACAAAAAGAACTCAATATCAATAAATGTTTGTTAAGTGAATGGTTTCAGAGATCATTTCAAATCTAGTTGTTCTGGATTTGAACATACAACCAAAACTTCACTAGGGCCAACTATAGCTAGGTTTCAAGGTTTCACAAACATCTACAATTCTAAGAGGAGAAGCAGTAGTTGCTCCAACATGGAAAAAAAAATTATGCCTTTTGAAGTGCTATCTGATGCCTAACAGTCATTCCCAGATGCACTGTTCTAAGAAACACAGCTGCCTCTCGTATCTTAGGGCATAGTACTGTGAGAAAACGTGTGCTGTCAGCAATTTGAGTTTCAGCATAGTGATAAAACACTTGGCCGATGGATCACTCCGTATTTTCATCCTCCAACACACAAAGCACAGTACCTCTGTTAAGTAAACTCTTGCCCAGCTTATTTTTATGTTTCATTTATCAAAGAACCAAGGAAAACTTCAGTGTGCACTTCGGTAGTCCTTATTGGCCTCGTTCGTTGACCTAAACTTCTCCCTGCCAATCCTTTCTATAAAAGGATTTGCTCTGCAGAGAATTCATCTGTGAAAAGGGTGACTAAATACATAAATGTCAACATTCTCACTTTAAAAACTACTACAAAGTTATCAGGTGGGGCGGAGGCAGAGAACTATCGAGAATCTGTTACCGTTTTATTGAGACATCCAAATCTTTTAGACAGTCCACAATTGTGCTTCTGTGCCGCTGTACTGCATTATGATCTGTCTGCACAGTCTTCAACAAAGATGTCAGTGCTACATATCTGGGTGAAACAAAGATAATTAAAATGCAAAATTCAGGGTAGTTCTCTGCCTAAATAATGACAAAAAAATGTCTAAAGACTAGGGAAAAACATACATTTTTAAGCACTTAAAAGAAAAAACAGTCAGTATAGTAGTGACATTTTAAAGGCATAAGAGACACTATAATCTAAAGTGGCACCCAGGAGCAGCCTTGGATTTAGATTTGCATTCAAGGTCAAGTCTATTTAAACTCCTAAAAATGATTGACTCAATTTTTTCAAGTTCTTCCAAATAGTACAATAAAATAAGCATATAGTATGCCTTTTCAGGCCTTCGTCTTAAAATGCAAGAGGAAATTATTTCAATTTTATCATTTGTATTTTCTCCTTTATTTAATACTGGTACTAAAACTACCCCTACAAAAATTTGAGTTTAACATCCAAGTATTTAAAAATTCTTTTCGGGGCTGGCCGAGTGGCACGCTGGTTAAGAGCTGGCTTGGGATGCCAGCTCTGAGCAGCAGAGCTTGGGAAGCCTGCGTGAGCGGCTAGCAGAAGATGTGAGCTGCCAAGAGCCACCGTGAGCGGCCGTCCAGAGGCCAGTGACCAATCTGCCTCACCCGGGAAGAGGGCAATGTAATACCAACCTGGGCCAGTGAAGCACGTCCTCCACAACTAGACTGAAGAACAAAAGGACAGCAACTTGTCTGTTCCCCTTCCCCCAATTCCCCAGTGCTGTTCCTCTCCCTCAATTCCCCAATAAAATCTTTAAAAATAAAAAAAAAAAATTCTTTTGGAAGGAGAAGATAATTCAGGATACCACAATGCTTATTTTCACGTTTTCCAGCTTAACATGATAAGAAATTTTCTCCTGAGTAATTGCCACAGTGACCCAAAGGCCCATAGAGCCTAAAATATTGACCATCTGGTTCTTTACAGAAAGTTTGCTGACTCCTGATTTATAGCATAAATAGGAGTAAAAATCAAGCCCTAAGGCAAGTCTGCAAATTATTTACAAAACAGCAGTTTTAAGACCAGACTAAAAATAGAAATCTTAAATTTCCTGAGTTGAAGTTCTAAATACGTCACTCAATAACATGTGTGATCTTGAGCAAAGTCATTCTTGAAAAAACTGAGTTTATGATAACAAAATACAAGACATTTTTCAGCTGACTTACCTAATATTCTTGTCATTGTTCAATAAGAAACGACCCAGGATATTTATGGCTAGTACCTAAAGAAAAATAGTAAAAGTTAAAAATCTAGGAAAATTAAATACTTATATTGTTTAATAGTAATTTCATGGCCTCTTATGGGTACAAACTATTTAAAGATGTGGTAGACAGTATTTTATAGACTGGGAAGACAAAAAGTTTTGAAGATAAATGGTGGTGTTGGTTGCTCAACAATGTGAATGTACTTAATGCCACTGAACTACAGACTTAAAAATAGTTTAAATGGTAAACTTTATGCTATGTATATTCTACCACATTTTTTAAAAATGAGAATGGTCTCTATACATAAACATGGACCAGAGCTCCATCATAATGTTAGATGATAAAAGTAAGGTGCAGGACAATATATATGATATGTTACCATTTTGTTTGAAAGGTGAGGAAAGGAAAAGAACTAACCTAAGCTACTTTGGTTAAGTTATTTGGATACTGTAATATTAAAGACAAAAAGAACTATACACAAATACTGTATTATAGTTAGCGAATCTGTTTCTTACAAGACTATGGGCTACCTATTCTTATATTAATAAATGATTGAATGAATAAATTCGTGAGGGAGAATTCTTCCTTACAGAAGAATTCCAATTATTTAATGAGGACAAAATAAAGGCGATAGAAGAGTATCATTAGAACACCACCCTAACAACTGTTGCAGACAAGATCCTCTGATGAGTAATAAAATTGTTGGGCAAAAGTCTGAGGAGAACAAGGTATTTGTATAGTCTCAAAGTGTCTCCCAAAATATTTTTAATTACAAAGGGGAAAATAACAACTTTACAGTGGAGAGATACAGCAGACACCACCTTAACTACATGATCAAGGTTAATATCACCACTAGTGAGACAAACAGATAGCCTATACCTCCTGATATGATACTGAGAAAGGCACATCACTTCTGTGATAGCCTTGCCAAAAAAAATAACCTCATCTAATTATAAGAAAATATCAGAGCCAATTTAAGAACATTCCGAAAAGTAACTAACTGATCAGTACTCTTCAAAAGTGACAGTCATGAAAGGCAAGGAAAGATGGAGGAACTGTTAGGAGATTGGAGGAGGCTAACAAGACATCACAGTTAAATGAAAGGTGGAATCATGGATTGGCTCCTACAACAGCAAAAAAAAATTAGTAGAAAAATTGGTGAAATTTGAAAAAATCTATAATTTAGATAATGGCATAGTACTGACGTTAATTTCTTAGTTTTGATAATTATATTATAGTTATGCAAGATGTTAACATTATGGGAAGCTGAGTGAAGGGTACTCAGAACTATTTTTGCAACTTTTCTGTAGTCTAAAATTATTTCAAACAAAAAGTTTTTAAAAGTGGGGAAGAGAAGAATTATACACGTATACAAACACATTTAAACATGAATAAAACATCTCTAAAAAAATACATCAGAAAATGGTAACTATTTCCCACTAGAAGAATTGAGACCCTCCACGTGAAAGCTACAGGCAGACATTTCCTTCTGTACTGCTTGAGTTGTTTTACTTTATGACTTTATTTCTTAAATAAAAAACAAATTAATTAAAAAATGATGTCTTGTTTGAAATACAATTCAAATCATGGCTCTAGTAAAAACTTATTCTGAAATGTTTATTTCACTCCACAGTATCTACATATCTAATTATATCTAAGATCTTCCAAACTTAATTATAATAAATATTAAGCCTATAATCAAGCCTTCAGTAGGAGGGTATGATACTTCAGATACCAAAACATAGTACTATACATACTGCATCATTCTTGCCTAAAGTTAATTTTCAAATGGAATTCATTTCCAAAGAACTAAAGTCTAAGTCAATTATTCTAAACGAAATGTTTAGGGAAAAGAAATGATTTAAAAAAGACTTACTCGCAGTCCACTCTCTGACTTAATATCCATGATAGTCAAAACTGTTTCATAAAGAATAGCATTTCCTACATTTTTACTAGTCTCTGTATTAGTAGCAACCTGAAAAGACACAGAGGGCAGTACATAAATGATACAACAATGCTTCCAAAAAGATATCCAGTGTATCAAGAGACATTTTGTGATTGATTATAGCCACCAATGAGGAAACACAAATAAAAACTGATCCATATAACCGCAAGCTTGGTCTACTCACCTGTGCTAATATATCATTCATAGCTTCACTTGAGTCATCATCATTTCGTCCTAAAATTCTTAATAACCGCAAAATTCGTACCTAATGTGCAAAATATGAGAAATGTCAACAAATTATGTCTGGCACAAAGGAACTTTGTTTCGTATGAAATTCAAAAACCTTAAATGAAGTCCTACATCCCATTAGAAATGGTCGAAATTCAGACAGAAGAATTTTAAACATTATCTTTAGAGAAGTTATATATGTTTCTGTGTCTTAAAGACATTACTAGACAACACACACTTTGCCACTCCACAGCTCAAGGATACCACCACCTACAGAGCTATATTACAGGCATATCTCAGAGACATTACGGGTTCAGTTCTAGACCACTGCAATACAGTGAGTATCACAGTAAAACGAGTTGTAATCTTTGCTGGCAGAGGGTCTTGCCTTCAACTCGCAAAATAAAAAAAAAAAAAGCAGCATCTGTGAAGTGCAATAAAGCAAAGCCCAATAAAACAAGGTATGCCTGTATATTGACAAATCAGGTTTCTATGTAGTATATAATTTTGACTATTAGAACCATAATTTCATTCTACTAATCTAGTAAAATACAGAACTGTGTCACTATTCACTTATTAATGTAATCAGGTAACTACCAAATTTCTACCCAACACAAACTTAAAACAAAGGAAAACGATCTATTCCAAAGGTATTAAATTCATATATCATATATTTGAAACTTTCTTTCAAGCTCACCTGCAAAAAGGGGTCACTGATACCAGAAACATCATGTTCTGGTGAATATCCGGACATGATGAGGTTCTTTAGAATACGAACTAATTGGGGCACAAGCTGTAGGGAAGAAAGATGCATCAAAAAACAGTGAACATTAAAGAATTTCTTATGAATAAACAGGTAATTTGGCTTAGAAAAAGAGTATAGGGTCTGAGTCCAAGCAAATTCTACTGATACAATATACTAATATATTGTTGATGTTCAATAAATATAACTTAGGAGTATTTTTGCCAAGAACTCAAGAAGTATGTATTTTACCTGAATAAAAACAAACTAGACTTTTTTACTCCAGAATTATATATGCAAAGAAACTACAAACAACAGTACGTCAGAATGCCTATGGGAACAAGTAAAACAAACGCCTATGGAGCGTACTGCATTTCTACTTCTATAGAACTTGACATACCTAGGTGGCACAAACATGTTCAGGTTTTATCCATTTAAACAACTGGATATAGTGCTCATTTCAGCAGCACATATACAAACATTTGATATAAAATAGTCTCATACCCAAAATATTCGTGATCTTATTAAAATTATAGTTTTAAAATATACTATCTCAAAGAGAGAAAATTTTTCTTTTAAGATAGGCTAGTTTGTCCTTTTCCAACAAGCAACAGGGAATACAAAAGTCTCCAACACTGACCAAGTGGAAAAGACATATGAAAAATTGTTTCTTTCACCCTAAGAAGATATCAAAGGCCATGAATAATTTCCTTTCCCTACTCTTAACTCATATGACACAATTTTCAGTAAAATTTAATTTCAGCACTTTATAATTACACAGACTGATTTGTTGCTTGTTTTCTTATCTTACTAATGAAACTATAAATTCCTTATGGTCAGAATTCCCTTGTTGTCCTTCCTTTACTTTGTCCATTATTTATAACACATAGTAGAGGCAATTTTATTGCCAAGCTGAACTTACAGATGTTTTAATTATTATTATTCATTCCACTCTGTTGATCACTAAATGTTAAAACCCTACTCCAAAATGTTTGCCACAACAGGAACTTTTCCAGCCTCCAACTAAAAACTGAATTTAGCTACATAAACAACTCTAAACACCTGAAATTAAGACATGTCCACAGTGAACTAAATCACCTCTCCTTTTGAGGCAATCAGAACAGCCCCAACTTTGCTGCAACTGTTAGCTGTTTCTCACTGTATTGGGAGTTGGCCCCATCCCTATTCTACTCCCCAACTCTAAAAGGGGATCAAGATGGAAACAAAAGCCAAGCTAGGCCCAAGCTATGCACTCAAAACATTCACAACGCTAAGGCCACTTCTAAATACAAGAGAACATAATCTGTGAAAATTTCAGTAAGTCTGGCCATAACGTTTCAGAATTACGTGAAACATTTCAGAATTCCATGATTTGTAAGCCACCTAGACAAAAAACTAATTTGGACAATTCCATGATTAAAACAAATGTAAGCCACAGACACCTGTAAGTTCTACACAGAATCCGCATTAAATATGTCAACTGTGAGCAGATTTATATCAGAGGTAAGAGTAATATAATTTTATACACTGCTTTAAAATTAATGTAATAAAACTGAGATCATCTAATTATCAAACTCTGCACAAAGAGTCTTGCCTTGCATACTTTCCAGTGGTCTACTCTTTTGTACTACACATATCCCTAGTTATTTTTTTAATCTAGTTTATGTCTTGGAGAAGTCTTTTTTCCTTCGGCTACTAAATTCAGAAACTGTTTTATTTACTGCCAAAAGACCAGCACACCACATTAAGATCACCCAAGGACAAAAAGCACAAATGTCTAAGTGTTCAGCATACTAATTCTTGGAGCCCAGCTTTATTGTTCAGACAAAAATGCAAGTTACTAAACTGATGACAAGACAAACAAAGATGACAAAGGGAAAGGCTGCAGCCATGAAAATCAGTTGATGCCCACCCGCTCTACCTCAAAATCCTTTTTATATTCCAAAACTTCTAGGCAAGATTTAGCGCAGGTAAAGGGAAAATAAAAGCTCTAAGTCTGAAATGAAAGCTCAGAAGTACACACGGAGCTTTTTAAAGTATGAGGTTACCCATGTATGGCTCTAAAATATCTACTTCAAAATGAAGCAGTGTTTTGTGTCGAGGCTCCAAACTGATCTAGAATTGCCATCACCAAAGCCACTGGGAAACTGCTCAGAGTTTCTCAAGTGAAGATAAAGGAAAGGCAGAGAAGGAGGCTTACAATTCAGGAAAGGCTGCAACTGAAATCCAAGGCTGATTTTGGAGTCAGGAGTTTAAGTGACAAGACAAAAACTGGACTAGGGAGTTAGCCAAAAATGCTAGAACAAGTAACTCATAGTATTAAGCACAGCTTCAGCATTAGTGTATTTTTAAAAGCCACATCTGTGGATGGATACACAAAAGCTACTAAGGACCTAATGCCAGCATGCACCATCTAAAAGAGGGTTAATTCTTACCTTTTCATTCTAACATACAGCAGGATTCCCAACAGACAACAGGAACAAAACATACAAAGCAAGCATTAGGGACAGATACGGGTCTCATACTATTTTACAATAATTTAATCAAGACATGAACATCTATGGAGGGGTGGGGGGAGCCAAAAAAAGAACTGCTATTATGAGCCTCATTAGATCTCAAGTACAAAATAAGCTCCATTTAAGGAGTAGTCGGCACCCTATGAAAAAATTAGATGTATGTAACTACCCAAAGAACAGTCTTTCTCTGCATCCTCCTTACTACTCTGCCTTCTAAAAGTAGAAAAAATAAAACTTTCCACTTTAGAAAGCTGTAAGAAAGGGAGGGAAGGAAGGAATAAACAAAGCTACGGACTTCCATCAGCGGAGTCAACAGCCTAAAAATGAACAGTGGGGGATCCTGCATTAGGTAAAAGTAATATCAAATTTCAGTCTGCAGTTTTCACCTTTAAAAAAAAAAATGAAATTACCTGCCTAAAAAAACACACAAACACATTCCTGTTTGTAATTTGACCTCGAGTTACATTTCCTGACTTCAATGTGAAAACAGCAGATAAAGCACATGAGAGACTGGTGTGTCTGCCAACAATGAGAAGACTTTTATTATGAAAGGGAAAACACTGTACTATTGCCAGTTCTTATAAGCCTAAGTCTGGCTTCCAGCCCTGCCACACACCAGGCTACTTAAGTCCTTTATTCAGTTCCATAACTTCCTTTCAAAAGAAAATTTATAAGTGAGAAAATTATGTACTTTTCAGGCAAATCATTTTCAATCAAGAAAGGCTTAGGCAGACAGAATGGCACCTACCTTTCTGAAATGTGCAAGCATGTCTGGGCTTCGCTCACACATTTCTGTAAGAAGGACTACAGATGTGTGAAGGACACCTGAAAGAAAAGAGCAAATGAACACTAAAAATGAGGCTGTATTTTTCAACTTCATAGAACAGTACTCTAAGTTCTGAAGGTCAGTTCCAAAAGGGTAGTTGCTACTTTTGGTTTTTAATCTTCCAAAAAATCTAAGCACTGAGGTGAATACAAAGGGGGTATTTAATAGATGCCTGCTGATTTAATACTGGTCAAGTCAGTCCAATCAGAATATTTTAAACAATTACGTGACCAATTTCATTGCTTAAAATGACAACCAATATGTGTGTCTCTCCATCTGAGAATATGAATAAAGACATGATCATAGTCCATATAAGCTAGGCATCATCTGCTCCACACTTAACAAGCTCTTAGCTGAGTTCTGATAGATAATTCGTGATGCAAAAACCTTGATAAGAAGTTAAATTTCCAGATAAAATGTATCAGAACTTCAAGGTATGGTAATTGCGGAAGACAAAGTGAATCTGCTTGTTCCAGAGTGAGTGAAAAGAATCTCACAATAGTTTTCACTAAATAAGTGCCCACAACATTCATTTGTTCAACAAGTATATTTTGAGCCACTAGGCACAGGATTGGGTTCATCAAATTAACTACACCTTACCATTTTTTCTCTTAGCATTTAAGACAAATTTTCTTTACTCAGAACTTGTTTCACTGACTTCAAAATAAGAATATGTTTGGGAAAGAATAGCCACATTCTATTTAATTCCTCTCAAGTTGTATATGAACATCTCTAAGTACCCATTATAAATTTCTGTTATTAGTAACCTAAAAGGATAATCATAAACCTTACATTCCTACCACAAGGCAATAAAGAAATAATTTTTTCTTCTATTATAAAATAGCCAGGAAACTAAAGGGTTTTATATATGAAAATCAAGGCTAGGATGATTTGTACATTACACTGAATATTAATAACAATACAGTACTTTTAGTATAGTAAAAGAGGAGCAGAAATGAAAAAACAAGTTTGCTATAAAGGAATCAATCTCTAATTATAAAACTAGGATATGAACAGAAGGGCAATTCAACTGATCCATCTTTCCTGGAAAAGCGCCTAAGCACAGCAGAAAGGCACCTCCACGGCACTGAGACAGAAGGCCAACCCTGCCAGAAGCTTTTCTCCTTCCCCTCTCCTCCCTCAGTACTTCACCAGTGCATCCAAATCACATTACCATGGTTCTTTTCATTCAGTAAGTTTTTTGTTGCTGGTAAAAACATCTCCATAAGTTCAGGAACCTTCCTGATGACATGCACAGCACACAGTGCTGCCTAAAAAATAAAAAGGACAAAAGATTGATTTCAATTAAGTCACAGCAATCCATCTTATAAACAACAACAACAACAAAACCCTTATCAGCTAATTTACCTACTATTAGAAAAATAAAGAAGTTAGAGATCAGATTTATGATTAACTGGTTAGGGCTTTCCAATTTATATTACTGCATTAATGAGAACTTCTGGCTCACCTGTCCCTTTGTTCATATATTGCTAAGTAAGTCGATAAAAACTTTCTAGACTCTTACCATGGTTAACATGAATTTATCAAACAAGTTAAACATAACTTATGTAGAATGGCAATGTTAAAAATAACGACTTCCATCTGTGATAATCATTCCTTTGAGTAAGATGACCAAATATGGGTTTTATAAAAACATCATGCAATTTAAAGATGTATCCTGCAGATACTTTAAATTTGCTTGTTACTTTTAATAATACTGATACCTTCCTTCCCCAATTCACTCTCTGCTCACATCAAGAAAATCATTTGAAAGATACTTAGCTAGTCTCTACTGAAGAAAAGATGGTCTTAGCTTGCTCACTGGAAAGAAAGGTACATTCAAAGACTGATTTTGGTTACCCCCCAACATAACCATATTTGTTGGAGTTGACTAGACTACCATAAAAGTTTAGATACATTAACAAGAAAAGATTTCAGCTAATTCTTCCTATGTTGTATCTAGGGGAAAGATTCTGTTCTCTAATTTGTAGGAATGTTCTACTTAAGGAAATAACATACCTTTTGAACAAGAGCAGCCCACACATTCTTTAAGAGAAAGGACTGGCTTTGTTTTGCAGCCATCATTAACAGTGTATGATCCGCGAAACAGCTTGGCCCTTTCAATGCCTGTCTCACACCGTTAATATACAGGCATAGTGAATGCCAACCAGGCAATAGTATGTGTCCACTTTTTGGAGTTATAATTTTTATATTCTTATAATTATTACGTTGTAAATATTTATTCATTTGTTCATTTTAATACTGTTTAGAGTCAGGTAATTTAGGAAGTAATTAAGTATGCCATCTCGGATAACCAATAGCATTTGTTTGTTTATAAATCATTTCCTTGAAAAAGAGGAATTAAAAGAATTAAAGTGTTCGCAGTCACTTATCAATTGGAGAATTAATTAGCAAGAAAAAAATCACCTCCAAAATAAGTATAAAAACTAAATTTTGACTTCTAAACACTTGATCCATATATAGTCATTTAACAGGCATTTACTGCACAGAGAAAAATACGCTATATATTATCATCGGATAATATATAAAAAATAAATCATTTGCCTTCTCATCTCCAGAATACTCCCCAATCCAAACATTTAGTTTCATTAAAAGTTACCTTTTTCCTTAAGTACGAGTTGGAGGTTTTCAGGAGTTTCTCTACCTCTCCTGCAAGATCTCTGCACATCTCTGAGGAGCCCATGCAGCCGAGGGTACAAAGTGCCAGCCCCTGTACGTACTGCGTGCTATGATTAAGATCACTGCAAAGGAAAGGAACCAGGTGGAAATGAACACACTCTGCCTGGTGCTGCCTGTGAAAACTCCTCACAGCCTAACTAGGTAGCTCTGAATGATGCATGATTTCTCCAATAAGGAAAATAATTAATAGGATTATTTGTTGCAAAAAAAATGTTTATTCCAAATGTATTACAAATTACCAATACAGTATACCGACTGACAGTTCCTCCAACAGGCTTACAACTCAATGTGTCCAAATACCAAAGCAACATAAATTAGACAACGTTATCTATTGGATGTTATAAGGCAACCCATTTTGGAAAACTCAGCAAACCGTTGAAATAAAAACTGGCAATGATACAAATGTGAAGCACAACTGTATCTTTGAAAGGTTTTTATGTTCTACTAGTAACAACAAAAAATTGTAAGATATACATTAAATCAAAACCTTAAAAAAAAAAAATCAGAAAACACAATCTCTACTGCTAGAGCATTTAAGGTGATTTAGACATCACAACAGAAAGAAACCTTTGATCTTATGGTATAGTATAAACCTCGATGTTACATCAATTTTTACGATTTTAAATGTTTATTCAAAAGAAGAAAAAATGTAACTAAAAAAATTAGCTAATTAAACCACCTTTAACAAACTAAGGTAGATATTTACAGTGGCCCAGTATATGGTGATACACACAAAATCCTATTTCTATCAGGCATTGATTATTGCACAAAATTATTTTCAAACCAACCAGGGAGTATACTTTCAGAAAAGTATTAAATATTAAAAGTTTGAACCATAAACTCATCTATATTATAATCAACTCTCACTATTCAGAAGATTAATTATTATGAGTTATGCTACTTCTACCAGCTTTAAGAGCATTTTCGTATCCTTCAGTCCTACAGTTCTCAAAGTGTGGTTAACAAGTCTCTCAAAGTCCCCAAGGCTGTTTCAGGGAGTCTATGAGATCCAAGTTATTTTCACAATGCTAACTCATTATTTGTCAACTGTCTTGACAATTGTACTGATGGTACAAAAGCAGTGGTGGGAAAAACTACTGGCACATTAACGCAAATCAGGGCAGTGGCACCAAACTGTACTAATAATCATTGTATTCACTGCCACACACTCAGTGGGAGGAAAAAAGGAAGGAAGGAAGGAAAGATGGAAAGGAAAGAAGGAAGGAAGGAAGGAAGGAAGGAAGGAAGGAAGGTCAGTCACTTAAGACTGCACATGACAAAGCAGTAAAAATAACTAATTTTATTAACTCTTGACTCCCGAGTGCACGTTTTAATATTCTGTGTGACAAAATGGGAAGTATGCATAAAGTACTCCTGCTGCACACTGAAGCAGCAATCTCAGAGAAAAGCACTTGAGTACTTAACTTCATTTGCAAGCTAAACTATGAACTAGCTGCTTTTAAAATGGACATAATTCTTATTTGAAAAATAACTGACAGGCAACTATAATTATTAAGATCTGGGTATTTGGCAGACATTTTCTGGAAAAAAGCCAAATAAGCCTATCACTTCAAGAGCAATAACTGATAATATTTGTTGCCAATGAGAAAATCCAAGGTTGAAGTAAAACTTAGAATTTTGGAAAACTTGTATTGCCACCATGAACTTGACAGTCTACCAGTACTTTAACTCGGTGAACCACTTTTTTCCTCCAATGCCTTAGGCATGATGAGTGCCTAGAAAGATGCTTTAATATAACAAAGTACGAAACTTCACTGATATGGTTTCAGATTTCACATTGTAACCAACCCTTAAGAAACTACCACTTGTGGAGTTTTTGTATAGTATCAAAGAATATCCATATTATTTGAAAGGTATTAAAATTGTCTTCCTTTTTCCTCTACATTATCTTGAATCATCTTCATATATTTCAATTAAAACACAACACAAGAAATTGAATAAAGAAGCAAATAGGAGTATCTAGCTGTCTTTCATGAGGCCAGATATTAGGGATTTACAAAAGTGTAAAATAATGTCATTCCTATTGTTTTTATTTTGAAAAAGTTTATTTTTCATTAAAAAATGTTATTTATGTTAACATGAAGAGGATTCATAATTGGTAATTTTAAATGAACTAACAAATTGCTTTCGTCTTCCCTGAAGAACAAAGAAAAGGAAAAGAAGGTAAAGTGTAAATTAGCCAGGTTTGCTGCTTTCCACCAATTTGAATATTTAAGTTAAAAAATTACTGGTAACTGAATCTCAAGTACTGACTATGGCTTTACTATTTAGACTCCTAGTTCCCAGGAATATTTAGTTGACTTTTCATTCATTTTTTTTTCAACAATTAAGACTATTTGCATAATGCAACCTCTTAAAATATCAAGTCCAATTTTTAAAGATTTAATTCCAAGATCTTGGAATGTCTTAAAAGTTTTTCTAGGCCAATGAACAATGTGGTAAACATTCATTAATAAACTTAAAAACTGCTGGGACACTATGATATCCTATAATACAAACAAAAAGCAAAAAACTCACAAAAGAAGGCAACAAAGATACCCCATTCATTAACAGATTTATTTAAAAACAAAACAAAAAAACCCCCAAATGATCCAAAGTCCTTTAACTCAGCCTAGTCTGAAGTGCCAGATCAATTTTCAGCTATTATTAGTAGCTCTTTCCTAAATTCACTTAGGGCTTGGTAGGTCCCATTAAAATTAAACAATGATTTCTTCTTTGCCTATGCACCTCATTCTTCCGTTTCTATCAAGCTAGAAACCTATACTTGAGTTTGGTATTAACTCTCTAATATAAACTTGCGCTAGACAGAACTGCCAAATTATCAGCATGTGATTGAAGGCTTAAGTAATAAAAGCAACAGAGCATGCAAGAACAAAAATTAAAGAAATTCTCAGAGGCCTGTCCAGAGTAAATGTATAGAAGAGTCATGCTGTGGATGGGGTAGAGGCCTGATCGCTGCACTGTACACCTGAAGCTGATGTTGTATAATATTGTATGTCAACTATAATCAAATATATATATAGTCACGGGACATGGAGTATAGTGTGGGAGTGGAGTCAAGGGAATTGTAATAGATATGTATGATATGGGGGGGGAGTGGGGTGGCGGATTGGGGGAGGGGGGTTGTCACTTTGAGGGGTAAAAAGTATAACTATTGCACTGTGTTGTACAGCTGAAACTAATTTTAAAAAATATTTCACAATAAAAAAAAAGTGTCATGCTGAATGGAAACTCATTGACACCAAGGATTTCTGTCCCATTTTTTTTCATTCTCCATCCCCAAAGCTTACAGCAGCTCCTGGCATGCAACAGGTGTACAATAAATATTTGCTGAATAAATTTAGTATTTTCACTATTAATATCTATTTCAAGGCCTAAAACCAAGATTCTCCCAAAATTAAGTTCACAGACTCAATGTATCTACATGACACACTCAATATTTACAACCAAATCATAATTCTTGTTTTGGAATGTTCCATTATCCATTGGGAAACTTCGAAGTAGAACATTATTTACACAGGAAAGTGTAAGAGTTTAATGTCTACAAATGTGATCACCTATATTCCCCTTCTGTCAAATACAGAAATACTGCAAATGAAATAGAAATCTAAAAAAGATTAAACAGACAAACCAAAACCAAATTAAAACAAATCAAAAAGTACCTTTAACCAATAAGGCAATCAGAACTTCCATGACTTTCTAACAGAAATTTGTTATAAGAGAGACGCTGGGAATAACTGCTAATTCCCTGCTTGATCGGGTCCTCTAATTTCTCCATAATGACAAGCATTCCTTGGTTTCTAAGTTAATCAAACATGACTGGACTAGTAAAATCAGTAAAGCACCCATTAGAGAAAAAAAAGACTTAACACAAAAATTCACAGGGCTAAATATGATTACATGCAACTGAAATCTTGGATTAGACCACTGACAAGATTTCTCTTTTTGCCTTTAAATGGTATTTACTCAGAATATACACTGGTAATTCTTTATTTAATGTAACATTTCAATATAAATTGTACTCAAAGTCCTGGAAATAGAAGATAAGAAAGTTCAGATTTACCAATGCTTTTTCTATTCTATGAAGGCCCAAATACTTATTTCATTGTTAAATTGTGTTCCTTTGCAAGATGTATAGCAATACTTTCATTTAATTAAATTATCCCCTACAGGCATTTTTTATCCTTTGCTTAGTCTCTCCACATACAAGCTACAGAAGCTAAAGCAATTCAAATATATTCTAGACAGTAATATAAAATTAGTAAATAGAAGATTTGCTGATGTCAAGATTTACTGATGTCATGTTATAAGAAAGACCTAAAATCACAAAGTAGTTATTAGAAAAAGGGGAGGTTAAGACTTACTTCTTGATACAGTTGGTCATGAGAAGATGAACATCTTGTCTTTCGTCTAACAACAGCATTGCCCCTAAATAGCCAATGCGTTTGTCTGTGAATTTTTGCGAGGCAATAAGCTTGAGGCACTCCAACTGCAAATTAAAAAAAAAGAAGAAATTAAATTCCTGCCACAGTCAGGAAAGCCATGTTTTTAATCCGAGTCAATGAATAACTAAAGTAAATAGATATAACCTGTATCATCAAACTACCTAAATAAAAGGCAAAGATTGGGCTGGCCAAGTGGCACGTTGGTTAAGAGCTGGCTTGGGACGCCAGAGGGCCACGGTTCGGATCCCACATGTGGGCCAGTGACACTGCCCTCTACAGCTAAGATGCTGAACAACAGCTCAACCTGGAACTGGGCTGCCGTGTCGCCGGCTACCGTGTAGGCTGCAGCCGCTGCTGCAGTGGGTTGCCATGGGCTACCGTGTGTAGCCA